GGTGCGCCCCGCGTGCCGTTCGGGGCGCCCGCGCGGGGCTGCCGCTGGTAGAGTCCCCCGCGGCGTAGCCCCCGCCGGTAGAGTGCCCGCCCCCCATCTCGGGGGCGGGCACTCCGTCGTTGAACGGTCACTTTAATGCCGAGCTAATTATGTACCGTCCGTTCCGTCCCGTTGCCGCTAGATGTCGCGCGCGCGCGCTCTCGACAGAAAACCCGTCCGTCGTTGAACGGTCACTTTAATGCCGAGCTAATTATGTACCGTCGGTTTCGTCCCGTTGCTGCTAGATGTCGCGCGCAATATATACCATATCAAATATTTATCGAGGAGGGTCTTCTTCTTCTTCTTTTTGCGTCCAGTTAGTCGAACATCCCGGTGTTCCTGTTGATGACGTTCTTGTTCCCGCCAAAAAAAAAAAAATCTTTAAACGAAACCAGAATCTAACTTTTCGATGAGGGGGAGTGCGGCATTACTTCAACCACCTCCACCCCCCTGTATATATATATAGACACTCCGTAATTTTATTTTGTCAGTATGTTATACTTTGCGTCCGGAAGCGGCCTCGTTAACACGCTGATAAATAAGTTACCTTTCGAACTACACCTTCCCGGTTATCAATTTTGCGGACCGGGGACGAAATTGAAAAAACGGCTTAGTCGCGGCGATAGCGGCGTGAATCCTTTGGACGCGGCGTGTAGGGAACACGATATTGCTTATTCGCAACACCAATCGCTCGAGGAGCGCCACAAAGCGGATAAAGAGTTAGAAAAGCGTGCGTGGGAGCGAGTAAAAGCGAAAGACGCGAAGTTTGGTGAAAAAGCGGGAGCGTTCCTTGTCACTGCCACAGTTAAGGCCAAACGCAAGCTCGGTATGGGCCAACCAAAGCAGCGGAAGCAGCAGCAGCAGCAGAAACGTCGTCGCTCGGGGCTAAAAAAAAAGAAGGCGGGTGGTCGCAAGAAAATTAAAGTATCCCGCAAGCAGCGTAGCCCCGTTTCCTTTCGACAGGGGATCGTTAAAAAAATTCGCAACGCATTGAAGAAAAAACAATTGTTGCACCACGATAATCCGACAACTTTAAAGCGCGGTGCGTCGGAGGCGCTTCGGGCGGGCAGAGACGCCGTCAAAAAGGCGGGCGGGCGTAAAAAAATTAAGGTGCCCCGCATTATACCGTTCGAATCGAAGAAGAAGAAGGGGGGAATTTTACCCCTTTTACCGTTATTGGGTGCCCTGGGGGCTTTGGGTTCGCTCTCGGGCGGTGCCGCTGCCATTGCCAAAACAGTCATCGATGTGCAAAACGCACGAAAGAAACTAGAGGAGGACATTCGACACGACCGCGCAATGGAAGAGATCGGGAAGACCGGTTCGGGGTTATTTTTGAAAAAGAGTCCGAGCGGCGGATTCGGTCTCTACCTGAAGAAGCAAAAAAACTTCCTATAAAGCTGCCCAGAAGAGCCCTATACGATATCGATTTAGTGGCGGCGGCACGCAAGTTAAAAATACCTTATTTTAGGGGTGTCTTTATGCGAGACACCTTACCCGAACGAATCAGATCGAAAGAGTGTGGTATAGTTAATTTGGACTTGAGTCGAAATCGAGGAACTCACTGGGTAGCCTACAAGAAAATGGGGACGGATGTCGACTATTTCGACAGTTTCGGTAACCTAAAACCGCCCGTCGAATTGGTTAAATACTTCGGCGGTAATGGCGTCAACATCTACTACAATCACGACCGATATCAAAAATTTATACAGTACAATTGCGGCCATTTATGCTTGCAATTTCTCTATAAAAGCGAGGGAGCGCGCGCCTCCCCCCAAAAGAGAACATGTCCGTCATCTTTACGTTGAAGGGACACAGTTCGGTTTTGTCCATCGACTTTGTCAATCCGCTGCATTTGGACGAAGGCGTAGAGTACGGTTTGGCTCTGATCGGATTCCACTCGTACAATAACATCCCCAACATTGAGAACGGCTCGAATAAGTTGTATTATTTCGACGAGGACAACCACGAGAACGTAATAAACATTCCGACCGGGTCGTACGAAATTAGTGACATTGAAAACTACATTAACGAGCATCTACCGAAAAAACATCCGGTCGACAAGAATGCAAAGTTAAAAGAAGAGATCTCGATCAAGCCCAACAACAATACGATAAAATGTGAAATCTATAGCGACACGTACGGGATAAACTTTAAAGATCACGACGACAGTATCGGAAAACTGTTGGGTTTTTCGCGGAAAATTCTGGAACCCCGCAGCGTGCACTGTTCCGATTTGCCTGTGGACATAATAAAAGTGAGAACCATACATATAGATAGCAACATAACGTCCGGAGCGTTCTACAACGACAGACCTTCGCACACAATTTACGAGTTTGCCTTGTCCGTGGATTCGGGGTACGCGATCGACGAAACCCCGAAATACTTAACTTACTTGCCGGTAAACAAGCGAGAAATCTACAACATTACGCTACACGTTCTGGATCAAAATTTCGAGCCGGTCAATTTCCGAGGCGAGGAAATCATCGTCAGATTGGAGTTGAAAAAGCTATCATAAATGTTGATTTTTAACGAGGCCGTCGAATATAAAGGTCCTAACAAACCGTCGGTAGAGTCAGTCACGAGACCGAGGGGTACCTGTAAAGGACGCCTTACACCGACGAACAAGCAATTTCTTCGTTCGCTGGGCTACGATGTTATCCAATCAAATTTTCGACATACACAGAAAACCAAAATATGACGAGTCGATTCAGCGCGTGGAAAGTCGCACCTATCACCCGTTTGTGAAATCATTTCTCAACAATGACACAATCGAGATAACGATCAATCAAGGAGACGCGTGGTTGCTTATGCACGACGCCGCCATTTGTGTTAAAGGAACGCTAAAAAGGCTCACCGGGACCGACGATTTGGAGTTTGTAAACAATGCCGGAGCATTTTTTTTCGAAACTGTGACTTACGAGCTGAACGGAAAGGAAGTGGACAGCGTGCGCGATCCCGGTATAGTCAGTACGCTCCGCGGCTATCTATGTTACGACGAGAAGGATTCGAAGCATTTAGACGTCGCCGGCTGGAATTTCCCGCAACGAGCTATTCTCGACAAGGACGGATCTTTCAGCATGCGGATCCCATTGCGTCATTTTTTGAACATTTTCAACGATTATAATATGATAACGTGCGGAAAACAAACCGTAAGATTGGTACGGGCGAGACACGACAAAAATTGTATGGTTATTACTCCGAAGCCCGGCACCGCCGCCATTATTTCCAGCGAGGCGACCACGGCGGAATTAAAAATTGATAGCGTCGATCTCAGGGTCAAACATATATTTCCAAATGACGAAATCAAATTGCAATTGTTGCAATCGATTCGAGCGGATCAGCCCATTCTGATACCGTACCGAAGATGGGAACTGCACGAACATCCAGCCCTGACCGCGGGCGCTGTCAAAGAAATTTGGTCAGTAAAAACGTGCGCGGCGGTTGAGAGTCCCCGCTATGTGATCGTCGCGTTTCAAACAAATCGAAAAGATAATGAAAATAAAGACGCCACTTATTTCGACCACATCGATATAACGGATATACGACTAACGCTAAACGGAGAATATTACCCTCACGAACGCTCGCGCCTCGACTTTGACAAGAACGATTTTGTGGAGGCGCATCACAATTACACGGATTTCTATCCTAGTTATAAGGGATGCGAGGAGAGACGCGCCCTGCTCAACTACGAAACGTTCAAAAGTCGAGCCGTATTAGTCATCGATTGTTCTAGAAGAAACGACAGTCTGAAATCCAGCACGGTCGACGTTAAGTTAGATATCGAGGCTAAAAACGGATTTCCTGCAAATACGCGCGCCTATTGCGTCATCATTCACGATTGCATCGTGGAACACCGGCCGCTTAGCGAAATTGTCCGAACGTTGTCGTAATAATAAATACGAGGCAAATTTGATCGAGCGGCGCCAGTTCGTGGTACGAAGTTTGTGAAGTCAAAACATTTTGTGGTAAACATGCGGTTCGTGGTGGTCGACATGCAGGGATTCCAGCTGCAAGACGGCGGCGAGGGCTTCGTCGTCAAGGAGTTGGCGGCATGTAATGGCAGTCAAAGCTGCCATTTCATTTTCAAGCCGCCAAAGGAATATGGGCGGCTGTCCTCCGCCGACAAGCGGGGGGTGCAGTGGTTGGAGGATCGCCTCCATGGATTGATATACAGCGGGGGATTTGTCGACTATGCGAGGGTGGACGACGTGATAAATCATATTAGCGCACAGGCCGACGTCATTTACGTGAGGGGACAGGTAAAGGCGGACTTTCTGGCCAAGAGGCTGGAGTCGTCGGCGTGGAAGCCCACCATCATTAACGTGGAACAGTTTGACGACGGCGAGCCACGACGACGAGACGGCCACGCCGCAACTGTACCTCCGCCGCCGCCGCCGCCAAAGTTTGAGAAAAAACAGAGACCGAACTGTATGTTTCACAAGGGCGGAGGACGACGGATGTGCGCCCTAAATAATATTTTCGAATTATATTCATGGGTATACGCCAGTATACCCATTATTGTATAAAAAAAATTAAATAAAATTTTTTTCAAAAAAAACTTTGTCGTTTTATTTTGATCTGCGCAACATGTATTATTAAAAAAAAAACACGTAAATATGAATAAAAAAAAAATCATCTCCCACGTCCCCTCTATAAAAACGCTAGTTATGATCCGCGTAGCAACATGTATTATTAAAAAAAACACGTAAATATGAATAAAAAAAAATCATCTCCCACGCCCCCTCTATAAAAACGCTAGTTATGATCCGCGTATATTTAGTACTGCAGTTACTTTGTTTGAGAGCGGGGGAGACTTAAATTTACTTTTTTTTCCGATATTTTTTGATTAAAAAAAGTGTATCCATTTTCGATAGGCATTTTTTTTTTTTTAATTAACTTACCAACTTCGTTAATTTTGACTAGCATTTTGTCACTCAACTCGCCCGATTTGTGCGGTGACTCCCCCCTAGGTTAAAGTTATAGATTTTTTTTTTTTTTTTTACAGATAACTATTCTAATAATTCCCGACGAATTTTATGATTAACGAGGATTGGATCTGTGTGAAATGCAAAACATTTTTTTCTATACTATGTTTTTTTATTTTTTAAAAAATCTAAATATGAACTACAACTGTTGGTATCCCAATCATCATCTGCTGTTGTTGTGACTGGTCCCGTCCAATCTGTTGTCGTTTGATACGAACTACAACTGTTGGTATCCCAATCATCATCTGCTGTTGTTGTTGTTGTGACTGGTCCCGCCGTCCAATTCTGTTGCTGTTTTTTTTGTTGCCTTTGAGTTTGCAAGGCGTACCACTGCCGGTCCTCTTCAATTTTTTCATTCAATCTTGCTACCTGTTGATTTAGCTGCTCCTCCTTCCACGCCGGCCACTCTTGTGGGTGTTTCTTCCATACGTGATTTGTGAGGCGCCGCTTAAGCAACAGGTGTGATTTATCGATGGGACAGAGAGTTAAATCTTTTGAAAAGAAGAAAAAAAAATTAAAAAAATTAAAAAAAAAAATCTTCAAAAACTTACCAGCAGCGGAATAGCAGCAATAAGGACCTTCTTTATTCATTGTCAAGTGTTTTCGGAGCACGAGTACACACACACACACACACGATGCATCGCCACGAATAGCGCCGCTCGATCAAATTTGCCTCGTATTTATTACGACAACGTTCGGACAACTTCGATAAGCGGCCGGTGTTCCACGATGCAATCGCATGACGCAATAGGCACGCGTAATTGCAGGAAATATGTGGCACAAATTACGAGTACAACGAATTTTTTAAATAAATAGATCAACGCAGGACCCGTGGATTTCAGTCTATTAGGCATTAGCGAGAAATTTTTTAAATAAATTGATCAACGCAGGACCCGTGGATTTCAGTCTATTAGGCATCAATTGTCCACGCGAGAGCGTGTTTCAACAGATTAAAAATTTGTTAATAAAACTGACGACTAGGCGGTGACTACGATGGATAAAATACTGTTGAGCCATCCAACGAACTTGAACAGCGAAGACCTGAAAGTGCTGCCGGCACAATACCTCATAGAACGGGTGAGACCCTACGAATTGTTAAATATGTGGCACAAATTACCGGGAAAACATCAATGTAATTTTGAACTACAAACTCATCTGCCGTGTTTTGTGCATTACAACCGGCCTGACAGCAGAACCCATATCGACGGACCGGCTCCCTCGCAAAATCGGTGTTTTCATTGTTTGAGCGCTATAAAAAAGCGCTGACGACGTGGTGATCAGTGTCATTCGAGAACGCGATGGCTACGCTAAACGCCAAGTTTATTTTGTTGTCCACATTAGTGCAAAATATGTTTTATATTCACAAACCCAGCGGGGTAATTGAAGCATATGTGTGTTTCAAAAACGTCGATAATCGTAATTTTTCCTGTTCATGGCCGGACACCTGGACGCCGATGCATCTGGCGGCGACGGACGGCAACCTGTTTGAGACTAAACTGCCAATGAGTGCGGTGCACCAAAATTATAAACTTCGTTTGGTTTTCTCCGATCGCAGTTACGGAGATCAGGGAGAATGGCAAAGCATTGTAAGCAGTAGCAGCAGCAGCAACAACAGTAGCAATGACTCTTTAAACAAAAACAACTCCAGAAGCCTCCAAGACAGTGGTGACGACGACGACAAGCACTTTTTCCCGAATCAAAAACAAACTATTTTCATTTTGTTATACCTGATCGCGTCCAGTTCGCTACTTTTGTTATCAAAGTGTTTGGTCAAGATAACTAAAACTCAATGTGCCGTCCAATTTTGACGATAGGAGGGGGATGAAATGTATAAATACTGTGTAGGAGTTATAAAAACAATGTAAGTTAACAACAACGATGGGTGGTGATTGGGATGCAACATTTAATAATCACAGAAGAATTACGCCTACGCGTATTCCGGATACTACAGTAACGATCGATGAACATATATATGTCGAGATGGATTGCGCCCAAGTACGCCTGTATGTTAATGGCCAGCAGCGACTAGACTTTACCCACGAGGCATTTTTGGAGTTTTTATATTTTATTGACGAGGAAATTGGAAATCTAAAATGGAACGACGTCATCTTCCCCCTAGGAGATTGCATGCAAGCGACTTATTGGCACGAAGAAGAACGGTGTGACTTAACGCTGAAAAAATTCAATCCGTTAATCGAAATATACCTTGAGCGCGAGGAAATAAAAAAACTCGTGTCTCATAAAATGAACTTGTTCAATGCTTTAGAGTCTTTCCACTATATACGTCTCGGTCAATAAAATATACATATTCTACTTATTGTTTTTTTTAATTTCTAATCAGTTTCTGACGGAAACACGCGCGCGCGCGGATGTACGCATCCGGCCACGTTATGTGTGGAAAATTAAAAATAAAATGCAATTTCCGGCAGCGAAGGAAACACATGCGGCAATAATATCAACGTTTCGTATTTCCTGTGTCGCAGGATGTGTGGATTACTAATCGGACCGAGTGGCTCATTAATTTGTTTTAAGCATTTTTTGCATTTTTTGGCATCGTCACCCGCTGCCCCGCGGCGGACGATGATGTCACCCAGCCGACGAGTTTCAACTATTTCTGCGAATAAGCAATGTCGTGGGCCTTACACGCCGCGTCCAAAAGATTCACGAAATATGTTGTATATATATAAAAGGGGGTGGTCGAATAAGGGTTGTAGTCATGCGGGTGGTGCAACAGAAACTCGCACTCCCCATCGAAAATTTAGATTTTGTTTGCGGCGAGGGCGGGAACAATAAAAGCAAACACGGAAAACTGTTACCCAACTCGTTTAGGGCGGTGTTTTGTGGACCGAGCGGGTGCGGTAAAACTAACGCCATGTTGACGCTACTCTTCAGCCCCAATGGAGCGCGTTTCGAGAACGTTTACGTCTACTCAAAGTCGCTGTATCAACCCAAATACCAACTACTGTCTCGCGTAATGAAGCAAACCAAAGGACTTGGATACTTTCCTTACAGGGATAGCGACGAGATAATCGACCCCAGTGAAGCGAAAGAGAATTCCGTGTTCATTTTCGACGACGTGTCGTGTAACAAAATAAAATTCGCGAATATTTCTCAATGTGTCGACACAAGTCCATCGACGCGGCCTATCTCTGCCAGACGTACTCCAAAATACCCAAGCAACTGATAAGGGACAATTGCAACATTATAGTACTGTTTAAACAGGATGACGTGAATTTACACCACGTTTACGACGAGCACGTCTCCCCCGACGTTTCGTACGACGCGTTCAAAAATATCTGTTCCGCCTGTTGGCAGGACAAGTACGGAAGCCTCGTAATTGTCAAAGATTTTGAATTGAAAAACGGCCGTTACCGCAAGGGTTTTGATAAGTATATAAAAGTGGATGACAAGTGATCGTCGGAAACACACAGTGTCATGAAGGCGGCGCCCGTTGACATCGCCGACGCGGCGCTTAAACGGAAAGTAAACGACCTGTCCAAGTCAATTAGGAAAAAGTACTTGGCTCTAAAGTTGGGCAAGAGCGAGGAGGACGCGTCCATTCGGAAACTTTTTAAACCCGTCAGCGAGCCGCTCGAGCGTATTGCGAAAATAATACCCCTCCAACCGGCGTTGTTAAAAGCAAAAAGCGATCATACCGGCCTCAAGCAAGAACCGAAAGCGGAAATCAAAAAGAACGACAACGTGTCGTTTTTGCCGTTGGAGGAGATTCGGGAAACGGCGACATCCTCGGCTGCCGATCGTAGTGTAGAGATGCAAGATATTCAGCAGGAGGAAGGGGAGGAGGATGAAGTGTTTGATACCTCGAATGTGGCTAACGAGTCCTTTCGATCATATCTGGATCAATATCCCGAGATTTCCCATCCTTATATTCAAAATTTATGGGCGAAATCGGCCGACACGGACATCGTTTATGGTCCCGTTTATGACTCGATCTCTTCGAAATGTGTTCTAGGCAATAAGTGGATGGATTTTCATCGAAGATCCGGCGACATTATTGTGGACGGCACGCGTTACCCCGGCACTCTCGGCCTATATAATTTGGTGTTTTTGAAAAACCCCCAGACATACACCGAAAACGATTTGGCAGAATATAAAAAAATTATGGATGTCACGGGGGTACATAGGGACTCGCGCGGGCGTCTAAAAGGCGCGTCGACGGTACCCAAGTACGTTCAGGTCATTCGACCGTTAGTAAAACCGCGTCCTTATTCGTACAGTGGACAAGGTTATAGTATGCGTTATAATAACGCGCCTATGGAATACGTGTACTGGGACGACGTCAACGAACTCGTTGAGCGCCCAAAATTACTGGTCGCGTCGAAACACGCAGGGAACACGTCTGCGGACAACGAAATTCTCTCTATCGTCGAAGAGTTAAAAGAAGCCGGTATAATACGTTAGTTTAATAATGAGTCTGGACAAGTTTGGACGATCCAGCGGTGTCCGCTCCAAGCGAACTACCGTGATAAAGAGCTCCGCCTTCGATTATACCGCGGAGGGAAACGTCGATATGAACCATTTAAGAATTTGCAATGTCCAAATGCCTAGCGAAAACTACGACGCGGCCACCAAAAAGTACGTGGACGATGAAGTGGACGAGGGGCTTACGAAAAGACTACGATCCAAGGACGTCATCGCACCACCGCTGCTAGCCCCAGAAGAACAAGCGTTCGAAAAACACGCTTTAGCGGTGGAGCGACTCTCGCGGCAAAACAGGGACATTACCCTGACGTTGGAAACAAACAAGAGTAGATTCACACGTTTAGAGCAACAAGTCGGAACGTTTCGAGGTGAATTTCTAAAGTTTCGCCGCGACCTTGATCGCAAACTAGGCGAGATATGCACAAAGCAAGAGTTGGAAAATCACGCGTTAGTGACGGAACGGAGATTCGACGAGATTGTTCCCGAGGTGAATCGACTCTCCCGGGAAAATAAAGATATAACGAGGGCGTTGGAATTAAAGATTCTCAATCACCCGCCGCAGCAACAGTCGTATCGGCCCAAAAAAAGAGCAGCGGACCAAATTGACGAATGAGTAGTAAAGAAAAGATACAACTCGTGCGGGAACTGCACAGGCCGGCACGTAGAAATTATGCGCGTCGCAGAACTATAATACGAGGGTTGGATGATTTGTGGCAGGCCGATTTGGCCCAGCTCGATCGATATGCGAAACAAAATAAAAACTTTAAATTTATATTGGTTGTTATCGATTGTTTTTCAAAATACGTGTGGTGCGAACCGTTAAAAAGAAAAACGGGTAGTGATGTGACCAAGGCCTTCGCCAAAATTCTAAAAGAGGCACGGGATCGACACCCAAAAAACCTGCAAACGGATCTGGGCAAGGAATTTTATAATGGCAATTTTGAGAAGCTCATGACCAAGCACGAAATAAATCATTATAGTACGTACAGTAAGAAAAAGGCCGCGATAGTCGAACGGGTAATAAGGACGCTCAAAGAAAAATTGCATCGGTATTTCTCGTTAAACGGAACGTACCGCTGGACAGACGTGCTGCCCTCTGTCGTTCAACAATACAACAACAAGAAACACAGAACGACGGGAATGAAACCTAATGCGGTGAATAAAAGTAACGCCGATTCACTTTTGAAG